CCCCTTTTATTCCCGTGGCTATGCAAAAGACGTTACTTCAGTAACGTATGGCGCTAGCCAGGGTCTACACAGCTTTAACTCCGTGTGTGTTTGTTTGTTTGTGCCATCGGCATGCCTGGTGCTATCCCGTGCCTGTCCTGTACCGTACTACCAAGGTGTGTGTTTTTTTGTTTGCGCCGTCGGCATGCATGGCGCTATCCCGCACCTGTCCCGTACCGTGCCATCAAGGTGTGTGCCTGTTTGTTTGTACTGGCGCTATCCCGTACCTGTCCCGTACCGTAACATCGAAGACAGCTGGCCACAACATTCAAACAGGGCTTGCAAATGCAAGATCATAACGTGAAGCAACTTAGAAGAATGAGTATGTACTGTATGCGAAGTGTATCAGGGGAATGCATGCAGGGCGATAGTGCGGGTTCAAATCCTAGGTTATGTCTTTAAAAAAGAAATAGGAGAAATGAATTTTTTTAACATCCCTATGCTTTTTTTTGCCTAGGTCATCAAGGCGGTAGACGGTGTCGTATTGCCCTCGAATGCAAAGAGAAAGTTTATTTCTTTCGCTCAGGGCCCTGCGCTTTGCTTTTTTGCCGAGCTCATCATGAATGTTATTCGAACAGATGGAACCTTTTTGCAATTCAATGATGTAGCCGATCAGTTCGTTGTGGTATGGTTAGGAATTGTAGCCATTAATTTGTTTCTGGTTTTAGAGTTCGGATCGGAGCAGCCGTTCTCCAATTCAATTCGAGCCGCCATGGTCCATGTAAAACACTACTGTCTAACTGGAAAGTCTAACAAACAAAAAGTTTAACGGTTTTGTAATTTTGGCATGATTATGTGCAGAAAGTTTAACGATGGCTGCCTGCCCCCCCCCCCCCCCCCCCTCTCTGTTTGCGCATCTTCACACAGACATCTAGCGATAATGTATTTTTGAAATAACGAAACACAATTGGTCGTTAAAACGTAAGACTTTGTGACTCGTTAGACTTTCCGGTTTTACAGTAGTTATAAACACAAGTTCTGGGAGCAAACGTCTCTTTGTCCCGTAAGCTGCCACATACCAACTAAATACAATACCATGCACTTCACGCGAGCTGACTTGCACGCTGTGGCCCTTTTCACGAAACCAGACAAAGGGTTTGAAGAAGGGCTGAGGCTTCCTGCAGCTTCATCTGTGAAAAGAATTTGGGTGGACACACCCATTCCCATAGCGCTGCACATCACATCCGAACCAGTTCCGTTATTTAAAAAAAAGGAACTATAAAAAATTAACGGAACTGGTTCGGATGTGATGTGCAACGCTATGGGAATGGGTGTGTCCACCCGAATTATTTTGCCAGACAAAGGGATTGGTCTATTATAACGCATGTACAAAGTCACTAGAGTACACCCGCAGCAGAGATGAAGGCGACAGCGCCACACATCAATACGGATGACGTATAGCATGTCCTACAACAGTACGAGGAAATTGTGGGAGAAACCAGCGACCGCTTGGGAACGATGAACATTACAACAGTGATATTGTGAGTGATAGTCAGGCCAAGTTTCTGAACATCAGTAGCGAGTGCTATCCCCAGCATTATGTTAGCATAATGAAAGCATAGACAGGATGCGTATTACAGGAGACCCAAGTTGCTGAAGACCAGTAGTCATTTGCTGACAACGTAAAGAATAACTAAATCCGTAGCCTCTTTTGCCGTCGGAAAGGATGCGTAACATAGGAGACTATAAAGTTATGTAATGGGCTCCACAGGTAACCATGCATTTGGCCGTCAGCAACAGTTAAGCACAAGAACACTATCAAGGCAAGGACATTATTGTATTACAGTTGAACATCGATTATCCGCACATCGACTATCCGACCATTCGATTATCCGTAACAGTTTTTTTGGGCGCAGGTGCCGTAGAGTACGCACTGTGCATGTAGTGAGCCATTCAAAAAATACGAAAATTTTGAAAAGTAAAAAGTAAAAAGGTCCTGCGGCTAGTAATAACCACTGAAATTGTGTGAGTGACAGTTTTTTCTTATCCGGAACATTTGCCTTATCTGAACGCCGCCTGACAGTTGTCTGCCCAGAGGTGGTCGGATAATCGATGTTCAACTGTATTGTGTTGTATCGTATTGTATGGAATATATTTTACCTCATTGGCTTGACAGGTCAATGTATTAACTAGCTGCCACAAATCAGGCGCCGGATTACAGCAAAGTCCACCCCAAGCCCAATATGCGAGTGAATTCCACCATCAATGCCATTCCACTCTCATCTATCACAGAAAGCTCTTCTCGAGGCGATTCAAACGTCAGCCAACTACGTCATTATCATGTGCTCAGTCGATCAAAGAGCACACGAATAGGGATTTCCCCCTAAAATGATGAAGAGATCAATCAAAGTATTTCAATAACCTACGAGGAGACAATAGTCGTAAAATGGCAATGAACGAGAGAGCTTGGATGCGCAGGGCCCTACGCTATGCTTTTTTGCCTTGATGACCTAGACAAAAAAAGCATACGGATGTTATAAATTCATATAAATTTTTCCTTTTTTTTTTTAAGACATAACCTGGGATTCGAACCCGCACTATCGCCGTGCATGCATCCCCCGATACACTTCGCGCACAAACTAATTCTTCCAAGTTGCTTCACGTTATCATCTTGCATTTGAAAGCCCTATTTGAATATGCATTGTGGCCAGCCGTCTTTGATAGCACGGTATGGTACGGGACAGGTACGGGACAGATACGGGACAGGTACGGGACAGATACGGGACAGGTACGGGACAGGCACGGGGCAGGTACGGGATAGGTACGGTCGAGGGTAATACGACACCGTCTACCGCCTTGATGACCTAGGCAAAAAAAGCATAGAGATGTAATAAATTTTTCAATTTTCCTATTTTTTTAGCATAAGGCCACACCAAGTTAATTCTATGTTTCGCGTCGGATATTTTCTGGAAAAGGCACGCGGGCGGAAAAAAACCAAAACAGAAGAAAAACAAAACTCCATTCTATGTGTACTGAGCCACGTTGCACACAGAATACCACTACTAAACTGTCACTTCTATCCAAAACGACAACAAGTCGTCACAGGACAGCTGGCAGACTGGGCTGGAGCCATACAGAGATTTCATGGATGGCTCCTCCTGCATTTTGACATGAGTCGAGTGGCATCCCGCTCCATCACAAACGTGGAAAATCTCGAAGTCCTTGACACCTGGAATCTCTGCTCGCTTGGTGAGCAGGCCCTAGGCCTACCGCACGGCTTGGAAAAATAGAAATTTTCATCTCTCGCACCTTCTACGTACCATCGCCTGGAATGCAAGATTATCGAGAAGCTGATAACCTCTGATCTGCCATACTGGCTAGAGAATGTTCGCCAGAACAGCCATCGATTGGCTCGTCTAGGTTCTTTTTTTTTCTTGTAAAGGATTCGAAAAGGTACGCGGGCGGGTGACGCGAAACATAGAAATAACTTGGTGTGGCCTAACCTGGGATTAGAACCCGCACTATCGCCCTACATGCATTCCCCCATACACTTCGCATTCATACTCATTCTACCAAGTTGGATCTTACGTTTGAAACCCCTATTTGAATAATGCGCCCAGCTGTATGTGGCCAGCTGTGTTTGATGGTACGGTACGGTACGGGACAGACACGGGATAGCGCCGGGCGTGACACAAACACACAAACACCAAATTGAAGCTGTGTGGACCCTGGCTAGCGCCAGACGTTACTGAAGTTACGTCTTCTGCATAGCTACGGGAATAAAACTTATTGTGCACTCATGAGTAGGGGTGCACGGATTATGCTCGCACGCAACCGATATTATGCTTTCGGGCATTTCCCGCGGAACTTCGAAAGTATTCTCCCAAAACATTGAAACAATTCTCCAGAATCCCCCCCCCCCCCCCCCCTCCGAAAAAAAGACCCCCAGCACGAACCGTGCCTTGCGCATGCTCTTTAGTATGCAAAATAGACTGTCAGGCACGTGATCACTGCATGCAGGATCTGATGTACTAGATGTACTAGATGTACATGACTGATTGTACACAGCTACTATGTCCAGTGTCCGGGGATTGCTGCATGACTGTACATGTACGTGCGGCCATGGATGCCCGCTTCTTCTCTGGCACATCAAAATTGACAGAATTCCACCAAAACTCTTCTGAAGATCAATGGATCTGACAAAAGATCGATAGAATTCCCCTAAAATTCCCAACATTTTCTCGACGATAGTTTTCCCAAATTATTCCGGGAATAATCCGCGCACCCCTACTCATGAGCCATAGCCATGTACAGTCGAATGTCACTCATCCGGTCGCCAGTTATCTGAGCACGTCAGTTATCCGACAAGTCCGGGAGTGGTAATTTTATGACTCTCAACAGTAAAATTCTAAAAAATAAAAAATGACCTTTTGTTTTTGTTTTTTGTATTTTATACGGTGAAATATGCATTTACTTGAAGTAGATGTGGTCAAGTATGCTAACATGTATGTGTACATGGAATATGCATGAATATATTTGGGTATTGTGTACATAAATTAGTGAACTTCAGCCTTATATGCACATAAAAATGATATCAGTTATCCAACATATTCAGTTATCCAACATGCCTGATTCCCGAAGTGGTTGGATAAGTGACATTCGACTGTACATGTAACATTTTGTTTTTTCTGGTCAATGGTCAACGGTTCCGATTGGAAGGAGTCCTTTCTTTGGAATTTGACGAAATTATTCATCGACTTATTTTCTCTGCTTGCAAAGCACACGGAATGAGAGTGAGTAGGTACTGCAGCAGCCGAAAAACCTTCGCGTTTGAATTGCCGTTGCTGCGCTTCACTACGAACAATACATTACCATGCGGACAAATGTGAGCACACGACACGGAGAACTGTACATCAGCAGAAGCCTTTTCCAATAAATCGTTACGGGTTAGGGCTGCAGTACTACTAGAACTCAGCGCACACCTTCAGTGAAATGTTGGGGACTGAATGGGAGATGCTTACCTGACTTCAAGCCAGGGAGAAGCACCTGCTCCCGATAACGGCCGGGTGGTTCCTGTCCGGCGTCCGCTATTCTGGTAACGTTGATCTGGACGATTGGTAGTCAAACAAACCTAAACGCCACCTGCCGATGGGCAGGTAAGGAACGAAAGCGCTTCACTTCCGCAACCAGATTGCGACGGAGCGTCACTCAAACTCCCAGAAAATAACAATGTGAAGGGCCGCAAGCAGAACACGCATCCGCCCAGAACACCCACAGACGGCAACGAGCAAGAAAAAAACGATTCCGCATTCAACTGAAGCACAGACGGTGCAGCAGTCCAAGATCCTCTCTACACGTTCGCTAGCGCTGCACGCTCCAGCGGCCAGAGCTCTGTGGCTTCATTCATCTGTCTGATCTGGCAAAAGTTGTAGATTTACGCGTAGATTATGTACATGACTGTACAACATGACATCAGATTCTACTGCCTGCTCCACACTACAAAAGTACAGTGCTACTCGTGTAGATCCATATGTAGGTCTAGATAATCATTGCGGGCCGATCTTTCTGCTGATGCTCCCACACCAACTCCGAAATGAAGCCGACAGTCTGTGTCGCCAGAGCAGAGGCGGACTAGCTGTTCAAGTGTCATCAACAGTGCTAGTGAGCGATGTCGCCTGTACTAAAGATTATGTAGACCATACAATAGGCCTGTCTGTTCACCCACGTACACGTCACGTGGTACACAGCCGGGCTAGATCGTAGTAGACGCAAGGCAGGGCAGAGGAAATGAGATCCTTTTTTACAGGCAGTAGCTACCAGGGAGTAGTAAAATACGTACATGTATTTTACTACTCCCTGGTAGTGTAGCTACAGCCAAGGCAAAGGCAAAGGCGTGAAAAGGCTGGCATCCACAGCAGCACTCTACATAACACATCATCATCAGGCAGGGACTGTCTTGAATATGGAAATCCAGTCGCCGGTCTAGCGGCCTCAGCGCGCTGGCCATGCAGCCATTGCATGCATTATTACGCGCTGCTGCTGGTCGCATCGTATCAACATTCGCGCTGCATGCAACGACGACGTTCTGTACGCGCTGAGGGCGCCGGCCCTGGTCAATCGACTGGATTTCCATGTCCGCGACAGTATAATTATTGTAGTCATTCATCCTCAGCCGCTCGCAATTTCGGTCAGTCGGCTACATAATTGTCTTGGGGGTTAGACAATGGGAAGTAGCCATGTAGGGGCGTGAGCCCGCCTTTCGGCACCTGAAGAGGACCCACACCTTGATCTGGTGAGCTGCGTCGCGTTTTGATCATGCTGACTTGGCTACTCCTTTTCACAGTTCGGCCTGCACTAGGGCCGCGGTCACACATGAATAGTTTGCACCGCTTTAAGAGGGGAAGTATACACTAAAATCAAATTTTCACCAGCGCCCTACTAGATGGGGATTTGTATGAAAATCTCACCAAAAGTGTTATGTCGTTCTTATAAAAGCACGGATGACCGCGATTGGCCCGTATGTTGTAGTCTTTTGGACGCTGAGTCGACTGGTTTTGGTCAGAAAAGGCTGCGATGCAGCGTTCCTCCTTTATTCCCAATCGAACATGGTTGAACAAGCGGTCACGTGCTCCGGGGTGCCCAAATCACCTGGTCACCGCGCCAGCAGGCGACAACGTTCACACCAGGGAGTCTACACGACTCCCTGGTTCACACAAAGGTTCAACTCGAGTTCAACTCGAGTGACAGGACTGCACCCAAAAAAGGTCAAACAGGCTAGTAAGTTGTACCCTGCAGGCACGGTGACCAGGTGACTGGTGTACGCAGGAGCAAGTGACCGCTTGTTCAGCCATGTTCGATTGGAAGTAAAGGAGGAGCGCTGCATCGCAGCCTTTTCGGACCAAAGCCAGTCGACTCAGCGTCCAAAAGACTACAACATATGGGCCAATGGCGGTCATCCGTGCTTTTATAAGAACGAAATGGCGCTTTTAGTGACATTTTGCATACAAATCCCCATCTAGTAGGGTGCAGTCACCCAGTTTCGGTGGAACTGCGCGAGTTCGATTGGGAATAAAGGAGGAAGGGAGCGTCTCAGCTTCCTCGGACCAAAACCATTCGACTCAGCACCCCGAAGACTCCAACTGGTGAAAAATTTGATTTTAGGGTATACTTCCCCTTTAAAGGGGAAGTTAAGGCAAAAATCAAAATTTCACCAGTTGTAGTCTTCGGGGTGCTGAGTCGAATGGTCTTGGTCCGAGAAAGCTGAGACGCTCCCTTCCTACTTGAATCCCAATCGAACTCGCGCACTTCCACCGAAACTGGGTGACTGCGCCCTACGAGATGGGGATTTGTATGCAAAATGTCACTAAAAGCGCCATTTCGTTCTTGTAAAAGCACGGATGACCGCGATTGGCCCATATGTTGTAGTCTTTTGGACGCTGGTTCGACTGGTTTTGGTCCGAAAAGGCTGCGATGCAGCGTTCGCCCCTAATTCCCAATCGAACATGGTTGAAGAAGTGGTCACGTGCTCCTGGGTGCCAAAATCACCTGGTCACCACGCCAGCAGGCGACAACTTTCACACCAAGGTTCAACTCGAGTGACAGGACTGCACCCAAAAAAGGTCAAAACAGGCTGTAAGTTGTACCCTGCAGGCACGGTGACCAGGTGACTGGTGTACGCAGGAGCACGTGACCGCATGTTCATCCATGTTCCATTGGGAATTAGGGGCGAACGCTGCATCGCAGCCTTTTCGGACCAAAACCAGTCGACTCAGCGTCCAAAAGACTACAACATATGGGCCAATCGTGGTCATCCGTGCTTTTATTAAAACGAAATGGCGCTTTTAGTGACATTTTGCATACAAATCCCCATCTAGTAGGGCGCAGTCACCCAGTTTCGGTGGAAGTGCGCGAGTTCGATTGGGATTCAAGTAGGAAGGGAGCGTCTCAGCTTTCTCGGACAAGACCATTCGACTCAGCACCCCGAAGACTACAACTGGTGAAATTTTAATCTTTGCCTTAACTTCCACGTTAAGGCTGCATTCACACCCGGTACAAAAATTCGCGTTTACATGACTGTACAAACACCTTGCAACGCCTGTGCATTCACACAGTCAAATGGAGTGCATACCAAACACGTAAAAAGTGACCCGCGTGACCCATGGCGAAGAGCGGGAATTTTGATTTCTGCATGAGCTGAGCGCAACGGTGCCGTGCGGCACTTGGCTCAATATTTCAAAAATACTATTTCTTGGGCCGCTAGTATGATCTCGGTGGAACGCCCCCCCCCCCCCCAGACTGGTGTATTCCTCTGAGTGTGCTGGAGTTGTGAACCATAGCGGCCGTGTATATCATTTCCTGATCACCTCCGGATAGCTGCTTTGCGCACAGATTCAGCTCATCCTCAATCCTCTTCTCGGCAACAGCTCTTTTAATCATAGTTCCATTTTCTCGCTGGTATTTTCCCCCTAGTTCTATCAGCCGTAGCTCCACCTTGGCAGAAAAGACAACTCGAGGCATGGTACCGGACTCTCCAAAAACTAACAAAAACTCTGCACGCAGGACACACCAAACCACTCGTTTCGACTTGCCTGGAAATTAAAAGCCGAAATCCGCTTTCAAAAGCCGCTCCGGGATGGCTTTGAACGTTGATGTGATTTTTCACTTTTCGCGCATGTTTCCATGCCCACTTGAAAGGACATGATGCTTGTATGCGGCTCTGTACCGTATGTACAGCGGCAAAAAGCGTAACTACCGCAGCCACTTTCGCGGAACACACGATGCAGCAGTCACACATACATAAAAGGCGCTTTCGATTACACGCATTTCCGTCAATTCTAGAATTAGTTATTGTTGATGCACAGTTCGATTACACAAAAAGTGACAAATTCCGTCGTTAGAATTGATTTTTTTCCAATTCCGTCAATTCTGAAGACAGTGCAGAATTTCTCTAATTCTGGCGCCAGAATTGCACACTCGGTGTGTTACCGGTCTGGTCATGTGTCGTATCCGGTGGACCCGGGGTTAGAACCCAAGGCTGCGGTCGTTGACATAACTAACTTACTAACCCTTCTTCTTACAAGGCCGTGCAGTGATGGCCACTTGGAGAGAAAGTCCACCAACAGAATTACTCGTACGCACGCACGCACATATACCTAGACATACACACACACACACACACTCAGGCATAATTATACAGACATGTACACTCACGCCAGCGTTCATGTTTACTCACATCTTCAACGAAGGATATTAAGTTCAAGAGATGATATGAGAGCACAAGGCAAGAGAGACAAAAGCCGAAGGCGGAATGCAAAGGAGAGAGAGAGAGAGAGAGAGATAGAGAGAGAAAGAGAGAGAGAGAGAGAGAGAGAGAGAGAGAGAGAGAGAGAGAGAGAGAGAGAGAGAGAGAGAGAGAGAGAGAGAGAGAGAGAGAGAGAGAGAGAGAGAGAGAGAGAGAGAGAGAGAGAGAGAGAGAGAGAGAAGGCGATTGCCATAATATCTAACTACGGGCAGGAGGCTGCGAACTATAGGACAAATAATGAACCATAGTACACCCGCATGCCGCAGTGTACCAAAACTTAGCAATAATGTGTATAAACTGTATCACAAAGAGCGGAAGCCAGCTAAGGAAAAACAGGGTATAACAAATAAGGAAGGTGCCAGACTTTGTGTGAAGACATAAAATAAAGGCGATTAGGAATCCGTTTACGGGAGATAAATAAATAATTAGACACCTAAATAAGGCAGACATGTCACGTAGAGGCCTAAAAGGCACGTGTCAATAGTATGGATACGACATATCCCCCGCTTACACGGAAAAAAGAACACGTCCTCGTGTTATAAGTAACTTAATAAATTAGACTACGAGTATAGGTAACAATTTAGACTAAACGAGTGCAGGTCAAATTGGAGTCCCTACCAACATTTTTCCAAAAACTAACTGTAATATCGAACACAACCAATCCAGTCAGTACCACTGAAGTCACTTACTCGTGCCACACAGGACTCCCAAACAGCTGGGGCGGATAGCGGGAACGCGGGGTTCGCCTTTCCATCACGCCAACTGGCGGAGCACTGTCAAATACCCGAACTGTGTCCTCCTCGTCTCTGGCGGCGGTGGTTGTCCGTTGGCACCAATTGACTTCGGGCCTTGGTCAGAGGTTTCCTTTTCCAGCTCCTTATATAGGCGGTCGGCAAAATCCTCTGACAATGTAGCGGCGGATCCTGTGTCAATCACAGCGTTTACTGGACATTCATTCACCACTCCAGGCACCAACATGTCCGCACGCTCACTCGCATGTTCAAAGAAGACCGAACACATAGATCAGGCTATTGTTTTCTGTCGCAGTCTAAGTTTTGCAGATACTGACTTCAACCCCAGGGTTCCAGTTCCCGGGAAAATCTACAAAAGCAGATGCAAACGACCTCCCGTCATTTACAGCACAGCCTTGAAGCTGTGCTCTTCGTTAATAATGACAACTCTCGGAGGAAGTACTCCGACAGACTGAGAATCCGCAGAAAAGGGCACTAGACTAGAGCCATTTCGCCGTTAAAGAGCGGTAAAAACCGTACTCTTCTGCTCTGCTCTTAATCCCCTGGGTGGTTTCACCGACAATTTCCCAGGAAATGGGGCATACTCCTCCAGCTCATAAAGTTCCAATGGGTCCCTCGGGATCATTGTGTTTTGAACCATTATGTTGGGGGTCTCGACGCCCAGAGCTTGGAAGATAATCAATCAGGCTTCCGGTAAATTCCGGGCATGGTTATCGCAGAATGAGAGCTATCCGATCTCTAAAGAGCGGTAATATCATCAGCTATATCCCAGAGGCTAATTCATAATTTTCTTTTAGGAAAATTTGATTGATACATAAGTAATTTTCAGCGAAGAGACTATTTGATTTGAGAATGGTGTGTGCAGGGATCTCCATGTAATGAAGTGGCTGCAGTGGAGCTTGCGTACCATAATAAATCCTCTATTTCTATCGAACCAATAGAAACGTCTTTGCAAAAAACATACATAAAGGTGCACTCGATAATCATATTGAAAAGACGTTTCTATCAGTTTTATAGAAATTGATGATTAGGCCACTGAAGTAACAAGCATGAAACCCTAGGTGAAAGCAAAGCATAGTGAGGTCACTGGGCTTTCCAGCCAATTGATTTGTAAACCAAATATTAATTATCTGAAGTTGTAATTTTCAGCGTGTATCAGGCGTGTACCAGCGTACATGCCAGCAGTCACTCAGTCACTTTGACTGGCGGGGTACCAGCGTACATGCCAGCAGTCACTCTGACTGGCGGGGTACCAGCGTACATGCCAGCAGTCACTCTGACTGGCGGGGTACCAGCGTACATGCCAGCAGTCACTCTGACTGGCGGGGTACCAGCGTACATGCCAGCAGTCACTCTGACTGGCGGGGTACCAGCGTACATGCCAGCAGTCACTCTGACTGGCGGGGTACCAGCGTACATGCCAGCAGTCACTCTGACTGGCGGGGTACCAACGTACATGCCAGCAGTCACTCTGACTGGCGGGGTACCAGCGTACATGCCAGCAGTCACTCTGACTGGCGGGTACCAGCGTACATGCCAGCAGTCACTCGGACTGGCGAGGTACCAGCGTACATGCCAGCATTCACTCTGACTGTCGGGGTACCAGCGTACATGCCAGCAGTCACTTTGACTGGCGGGGTACCAGCGTACATGCCAGCATTAACTTTGACTGGCGGGGTACCAGCGTACATGCCAGCAGTCACTCTGACTGGCGGGTTACCAGCGTACAAGCCAGCAGTCACTCTGACTGGCGCGGTATCAGCGTACATGCCAGCAGTCACTTTGACTGGCGGGGTATCAGCGTACATGCCAGCAGTCACTGTGACTGGCGGGGTACCAGCGTACATGCCAGCATTCACTCTGACCGGCGGGGTACCAGCGTACATGCCAGCAGTCACTCTGACTGGCGAGGTACCAGCGTACATGCCAGCAGTCACTCTGACTGGTGGGGTACCAACGTACATGCCTGCAGTCAATCTGACTGGCGGGGTACCAGCGTACATGCCAGCAGTCATTCTGACTGGCGGGGTACCAGCGTACATGCCAGCAGTCACTTTGACAGGCGGGGTACCAGTGTACATGCCAGCAGTCACTGTGACTGGCGGGGCACCAGCGTACATGCCAGCAGTCACTCTGACTGGGGGGGGGGGGGGGGGAGGGTACCAGCGTACATGCCAGCAGTCACTCTGACTGGCGGGGTACCAGCGTACATGCCAGCAGTCACTCTGACTGGCGGGGTACCAGCGTACATGCCAGCAGTCACTCTGACTGGCGGGGTACCAGCGTACATGCCAGCAGTCACTCTGACTGGCGGGGTACCAGCGTACATGCCTGCAGTCAATCTGACTGGCGGGGTACCAGCGTACATGCCAGCAGTCACTCTGACAGGCGGGGAACAGGGTACATGCCAGCAGTCACTCTGACTGGTGGGGTACCAGCGTACATGCCAGCAGTCACTTTGACTGGCGGGGCACCAGCGTACATGCCAGCAGTCACTCTGACTGGCGAAGTACCAGCGTACATGCCAGCAGTCACTTTGAATGGCGGGGTACCAGCGTACATGCCAGCAGTCACTGTGACTGGTGGGGTACCAGCGTACATGCCTGCAGTCAATCTGACTGGCGGGGTACCAGCGTACATGCCAGCAGTCACTCTGACTGGCGGGGTACTAGCGTACATGCCAGCAGTCACTTTGAATGGCGGGGTACCAGCGTACATGCCAGCAGTCAATTTGAATGGCGGGGTACCAGCGTACATGCCAGCAGTCACTCTGACTGGCGGGGTACCAGCGTACATGCCAGTAGTCACTGTGACTGGCGGGGTACCAGTGTACATGCCTGCAGTCAATCTGACTGGCGGGGTACCAGCGTACATGCCAGCAGTCACTCTGACTGGCGGGGTACCAGCGTACGTGCCAGCAGTCACTGTGACTGGCGGGGTACCAGCGTACATGCCAGCAGTCACTCTGACTGGCGGGGTACCAGCGTACATGCCAGCAGCCACTTTGAATGGCGGGGTACCAGCGTACATGCCACCAGTCACTTTGAATGGCGGGGTACCAGCGTACGTGCCAGTCACTCTGACTGACGGGGTACCAGCGTACATGCCAGCCATTCTGACTGGCGGGGTACCAGCGTACATACCAGCAGTCACTCTGACTGGCGGGGTACAACCGTACATGCCAGCAGTCACTGTGACTGGCGGGGTACCAGCGTACATGCCTGCAGTCAATCTGACTGGCGGGGTACCAGCGTACATGCCTGCAGTCACACTGACTGGCGGGGTACCAGCGTACATGCCAGCAGTCACTCTGACTGGCGGGGTACCAGCGTACATGCCAGCAGTCACTCTGACTGGCGGGGTACAATCGTACATGCCAGCAGTCACTCTGACTGGCGGGTTACCAGCGTACATGCCAGCAGTCACTTTGACTGGCGGGGTCAGAAAATTGGTACTCGAAGGTGTCGCTAAACACGCTAAATACGGACTCGGATTGCTGTTTTTTTGTGAAAGGCTGAGTGCGCATCTGGGCACGCACGAACCGCAAGCGTACCGCGTGCACGCGCCAGTTGTGAACACAGCTCAAGCTACAGTTTGTGGCCTCCTGCTTTGCTGCAATTGCGGCTGGGGCGACGTCTTCACCAGGATTTGACGCGGACCCTTCAGTACTCAACAAAACGCTGAACAAGAAGCGTGTTGAAATTCAGGTGATGAAACTTTGTCTTCAAGCAATGGATGCCTGCAGGTGTCAGGCGATGACGTCATACTAGCATTTTTACATTAGATTATAATGAGCAGTAGCAGTAGCAGTAGCAGCAGCAGAGAGATAGGGTAAGCAGTTCAGCACCTTCTTTCATTGACAAGCACTGCGCTCATGTTGTTGCTGTTTTCAGGCCTGCTACCTTCGCAGCTACATGCACCACAGGCAGCGCATTTCAGGAATTTGAGAACACTTTGTTCTTGCAAAACTCAACTTCAGCATGCCAAATTCAAGAGATAACGTTACACCAGGATTCATATCTCTTTGTTTGCAAAAAAATATCACGGTTTGCGTCAGACTCGGCTAGAGAGCGAGTTTTCCGCATCCGCATGAACACCACCACCCTTCAAGGATCAAGGCGCAGATGCAGCTCCTAAAGCGGTGGGAGGGAATGTGGGCCGGTAAGAACTACAGAAAAAGATTCGCACTCTGGGCGAAATATTGCGGAACCCGAAGAATTTGTTTGATGCGGAAGAGAGCTCCAAGACCACAACGGCTTTCGTAGCAATTGGGTGGGAAGGGTCATACCAATGTTGGTACACAGAAAACAGTGATTCCGACAGCCTGACTAAGACCATCAAGTCACAAACATTGCGAGGTGCGAAGCGACAATTGTAATGACAAGTCGGCAGTTACTATATTTTTTGTTATTCAAACTAATAGAAACGTCTACAAAATCCGCTCCCGAAAATTAGATTTTTTTAAAGGGGAAGTTAAGGCAAAAATAAAAATTTCACCAGTTGTAGTCTTCGGGGTGCTGAGTCGAATGGTCTTGGTCCGAGAAAGCTGAGACGCTCCCTTCCTACTTGAATCCCAATCGAACTCGCGCACTTCCACCGAAACTGGGTGACTGCGCCCTACTAGATGGGGATTTGTATGCAAAATGTCACTAAAAGCGCCATTTCGTTCTTATAAAAGCACGGATGACCGCGATTGGCCCATATGTTGTAGTCTTTTGGACGCTGAGTCGACTGGTTTTGGTCCGAAAAGGCACCCCGAAGACTACAACTGGTGAAATTTTGATTTTTGCCTTAACTTCCCCTTTAAGGTGGACATGTCCCTCAGACCCCCTCTTTCTCTTCGCCTCCTTTCGGTCATACAACTTTTTAGAACCTGGTGGCGCCCCTGCAAAGTGATCTGTCAGGGATTTGGACTGCCCTGGCAAGATAACAAAATGCAAACCCCAACAGGACTGGAACCTGCGACCTTGCTTGTCATGAGCATAGCTCTAACCATCTAAGCTATGGCACTGAGCAGAACCTAGAAAGCGCTGACAACTTTTTCACTAAAATTTTAGCTCAAAGAAACTTTCCAATTAATTTTGTTTTTCTCGTGAATTGTCACCGTTTCCGATTGGAAGAAGTCCTTTCTTTGGAATTTGACGAAATTATTCATCGACTACTATTAATTTTCTCTGCCTGTAAAGCACACGGATTGAGAGTGAGTGGATATTGCAGCAGCCGAAATACCTTCGCGTTTGAATTGCCGTTGCAGCGCTTCACTACGAACAATACAACACCATGGGGACAAATGTGAGCACACGACACGGAGTACTCTAGAGGGGACGGTCTCAAATAGGACATAGGTTGCAAACCAGAACGGACTCAATATTCACTTTCTCTCTTGGTATTTTGATTAGAAAACATATGTCACAGTGAGACTACGATGTGTTATACTCCGAGCCAAAATTTCATGGCTCTGCGATGACCAGAAGCGCCATACCAAGCAGGTGAGTTTTTGACGTGTTGCTTCGCACTGCGACTTGAATTTTACGACTTTCGAAAAATCAACTTCTTGTCGCAGGTAAACAGCGGCTCGCCTCTCGCCAATAAAGCACCGCATACCAATCAAAACTAATGGAAGCACACACAAGGCTTATTGTTACTCTGTACTGGCCGTCGTGGAGCGATAGCAATTACCTAATTTCAGACCCAGAGTGAATTTGACGTGCACTCTAAAACGTGTCCAGTTTGGAGCCACCTCTGATTTGAACTTTTTTGAAGCGAAAAATTGGGCAACTTGGAGGCAATGGGTAAACACAAAGGAGTGGCTCAGTTCGATTGACTCTGGCCCCAGAGCAAACTTCAACATGCCAGCTTCCTTCCACAAACATATTTCGAGTGATAAATCAACGCTGATGATCGGTTTGGGTCTATACAAATTTGGCTGTCAAATCGTCCCGGTATCGAGCCGTCCCCTCTCCATCAGCAGAAGCCTTTCCCAATTATAAATCGTTACGGGTTAGGTCTGCTGTACTACTAGAACTCCGCGCACACCTTCAGTGAAATATTGGGGACTGAATGGGAGATGCTTACCTGGCTTCAAGCAAGGGAGAATCACCTGCTCCCGAAAGCGGCCGGATGGTTCCTGTCCGGCGTCCGCTATTCTGGTAGTAGTCCTACAAATCTAAACGCCACCTGCCGATTGGCAGATAACGAACGAAAGCGCTTCACTTCCGCAACCAGATTGCGACGGAGCGTCACTGAAACTCCCAGAAAATAACAATATGAAGGGCCGCAAGTAGAACACGCATCCGCCCAGAACACCTACAGACGGCAACGAGCAAGAAAAAATGATTCCGCATTGAACTGAAGCGCGGACGGTGCAGCAGTCCAAGATCCTATCTACACGTTCGCTGCACGCTCTAGCGGCCAGAGCTCTGTGCCTTCATTCATCTGTCTGATCTGGCAAAAGTTGTAGATCTACGCGTAGATTATGTACATGACTGTACAACATGACATCAGATTCTACTGCCTGCTCCACACTACAAAAGTACAGTGCGTCTTTGTGGTCCACTTCACAACAATAACACACACAGAAGTCTCTGCTGTGAGCACGGTGGCTCGGCAATGTCGAAGTAAAGGCGTTACCCACAAAGACACAAGCTTTCCAACTCTCTTTGGCCGTTGGAAAGCGTACCTGCTCGTGTAGATCGACACGTACTAGTACGAGTAGGTCTAAAATCATTGCGGGCCCATCTTTCCGCTGATACCACGCCAACTCCGAAATGAAGCCGGCTGTCAACGGTGTCGCCAGAGGCGGACTACAGTAGCTGTTCAAGTGTCATCAACATTAGTTGTTCAACGTTGATGGGTTACTATCGCCGTCGGGTGTCTCTCGCGCTGCTACGTTCCGCTGTGTTGTGTGTCAGGTAGGCCTCCGCGGAATATGCTCGTATTTTTACCGATAATTCCTTTGAGCATTGCTCAAAATTTCGACCGATTATTCCCGTAATTCCACCAATAATTCTCATAATAATGCTTTTTTCTTCCATTTTTGCAGATACCGTACCGCGTACGGGTTTTTTTGCGACTTGTACTGGCAAAAAAATCACGGTTCGCGTGAAACTCGGCTGGAAGCTTTTTTCTTCTTTCTTTTTTGAAATACCGGGTGATCAACTTCAGGATCACAAGCTTTTTGGTACAAATCAGGGTGTTATAAATGGAAAAAAATTGAAAAAAAGGGGGGCATTGCTCAAATTTTACTGATTATTCCACAAAAATTGCCAATAATTCCCGTTTTAAAAATCACACCGATAATTCCCGAAATTATGCCGGGACATTCCGCGGAGGCCTAGTGTCAGGGGTGCTCCGTCCGCCCGTCATCGTCCAGTTTACATGCTTCGTGAGTTGGCGATGGTGGAGGGTCGGGTATCCCTGCCGTGATTGGTGCTGCACCGAGCTTGTTTTGTGTGAAAGTTTTAAAACTATTATTTTTATTCTTATATCTATACTTCATACTTCAAGTATTACAAAAATTGAGAGGCTTTGAATCGTTTTTATCAAGATCTAAATATTTGCCGGGTTGGAAGGTGGGAATCAAAGCTGTTCAAGTGTCATCAGTGAGCGATGTCGCCTGTACAGTGCACTAAATTATGATTATGTAGACGCTAGGCTTGTCTTGATCGGTTTGCACATAAAATGGATATCAGTTATCCAACATATTCAGTTATCCAACATGCCTGATTCCCGAAGTGGTCGGATAAGTGACATTCGACTGTACATGTAACATTTTGTTTTTTCTGGTCAATGGTCAACGGTTCCGATTGGAAGGAGTCCTTTCTTTGGAATTTGAAGAAATTATTCATCGACTAATTTTCTCTGCTTGCAAAGCACACGGATTGAGAGTGAGTAGGTACTGCAGCAGCCGAAAAACCTTCGCGTTTGAATTGCCGTTGCTGCGCTTCACTACGAACAATACATTACCATGCGGACAAATGTGAGCACACGACACGGAGTACTGTACATCAGCAGAAGCCTTTTCTAATAAATCGTTACGGGTTAGGGCTGCTGTACTGCTAGAACTCAGCGCACACCTTCAGTGAAATGTTGGGGACTGAATGGGAGAACCTTACCTGACTTCAAGCCAGGGAGAAGCACCTGCTCCCGAAAGCGGCCGGATGGTTCCTGTCCGGCGTCCGCTATTCTGGTAACGTTGACCCGGGCGATTGGTAGTCCCACAAATCTAAACGCCACCTGCCGATGGGCATGTAACGAACGAAAGCGCTTCACTTCCGCAACCAGATGGGGACGGAGCGTCACTCAAACTCCCAGAAAATAACAATATAAAGGGCCGCAAGCAGAACACGCATCCGCCCAGAACACCTACAGACGGCAACGAGCAAGAAAAAATGATTCCGCATTCAACTGAAGCGCGGACGGTGCAGCAGTCCAAGATCCCATCTACACGTTCGCTGCACGCTCCAGCGGCCAGAGCTCTGTGGCTTCATTCATCTGTCTGATCTGGCAAAAGTAGTAGATTTACGCGTAGATTATGTACATGACTGTACAACATGACATCAGATTCTACTGCCTGCTCCACACTACAAAAGTACAGTGCTACTCGTGTACATCAACACGTACTAGTAGATCTACGAGTAGGTCTAAAATCATTGCGGGCCCATCTTTCGGCTGATACCACGCTAACTCCGAAATGAAGCCGACTGTCAACTGCGTCGCCAGAGGCGGACTAGCTGTTCAAGTGTCATCACATGCAACAGTGATCGATGTCGCCTGTACAGTGCATGTAGACGCTAGGCTTGTCTGTTCACACACATACACGTCACGTGGTACACAGCCGGGCTAAATCGTAGTAGACGCAATGCAGTGCAGAGGAAATGAGATCCTATTTTTTACATGCAGTACCTACAGCCAGTTCAAGGTCAAAGGCAAATGCGTACAAAGGCTGTCATCCACAGCAGCACTCTACACAACACATCATCATCATGCAAGTACTAGTACATTTTACTCATTCATCCTGAGACGCTCGCCACGGTTTTTTTTTTAAATTTCGGCCAACAGGTCGGCCCCAGGGTTGGCCCCCACGGCTGCGGTTTGACATGAACTACTTACTAATAAACCTTCACATTACAAGGCTGTGCAGTGGTGGCCACTTGGAGAGAGAGTCCACCAACAGAATTACTCTTACGCACGCACGCACATATTCCTAGACATACTCTCACACACACACACTCAGGCATATACAGACACGTACACTCAGAGCAGCGTTCAGGTTTACTCACATCTTCACAGGAGGGTACATGTAACTTAGTTCAAGAGAAGATAATGAAGAGCACAAGGCAAGAGAGATAGAGAGAAAAGGAAGGTGATGGCAATACTATCTAATTGCGGCCATGGAAGTCCATGGCCACCAGATTGCTGGTCCCGCATGCAATAGCGTATCAAACCGTAGTAAATATGTGTACAAACTGTTGCATTAAGAGCGGGAGCTAGGTGGGGAAATAACAGCGTATACCAAATAAGGAAGGCCCCAGGCCTTGCGTGAAGACATAAAATAAAGACGATTATGAACCCGTTTATGGGAGATAGATAAATAATTAGACACCTAAATAAGGCAGACTTGTCACGTAGAGGCCTAAATGGCATGTGTCAATAGTATGGATACAACATATCCCCCCGCTTACACGGAAAAGAACACGTCCTCGTGTTATAAGTAACGTTATAAATTAGACTAAGATTATGGCTAACAATTAAACTAAACGAGTGCAGGTCAAATTGGAGTTCTTATCAAAATCTGTTGAAAGACTAACTGTAATATCGAACACCACAAATCCAGTCAATACCACTGAAGTCACTTACTCGTGCCACACAGGACTCCCAAACAGCTGGGGCGGATGGCGGGAACGCGGAGTTCGCCTTTCCATCACGCCAACTGGCGAAGCACTGCCAAATACCCGAGCGGTGTCCTCCTCGTCTCGGGCGGCGGTATCAGTGGCATCAGGCTGGTAGGACGGAGTCAGGGTGGATGCCATGGGCTGCGGTGGGTCCGACTCATCTTGCTCGTGAACCTCCTGCAGTCGACCCGGTCGATGATGGCAACTTTTCAGCCGTAAATGTCGGGGAACTACGACTTGCAAGATAGATGGCTTACTGGGGCAGGGGTCCTCCCAACGACGGCACAACACCCCCTCATGATGAACCAGCATTTCATGATTTTTCCACAAAATACGTACCTTAGGACTGCTACCCATCATGTCCTGCGGGCAAGGCGGAGAGTCCATACCTAGCCAGGACACTACTTGGGCGTGATCTCGGTCCTTCTCCTGTTCGGTTTCCATCTTGACCACGGCCAGTTGAAACGGCGAATGAGGGGTGTGGGGATTTTGCCAACGTCGTTATTCATGGCCCCTACGAACAACGTCGTCGGAGCATCAGGGCGGCGTGACAGTGCATCAGCGTTAGCGTGTGATCGACCTGCCCTGTACAATATGGTGAACTCACATACAGACAAAAATTCCAGCCAGCGAGCCACAATCGCCGGTGGATGTTGAAAGTTAGCCAAATGTTCCAGAGAATGATCGCTGTGCATATAACAAATTCAAATTTTACACCAAGCAGGTAGCAACGGAAATGCTGCACAGCCCACACAAAGCCCAACAATGGTTTTTTTGGTGGGGGTTAGACAATGGGAAGTAGCTATGTAGGGGCGTGAGCCCGCCTTTCGGCACCGGAAGAGGACCCACACCTTGATCTGGTGAGCTGCGTCGCGTTTGCTGTGGAGTGCTGTGCTGTGCAGTGGAGCTTGCATACCATAAGAAATCCTCTATTTCTATGCAACTAATAGCAACGTCTTTGCAAAAAACATAAATAAAGATGTACTTGATAATCATATTGAAAAGACGTTTCTATCAGTTTTATAGAAAATGATTATTATTATTATTTTTTTTTTCTTTTTTTGTTAGGGATTTCCCAACAGGCAATGTTGCCTTTTTACTGGGAACCCTAAATGAGATGATTAGGAAACTGAAGTAACCAGCATGATGACCTACGTGAAAGCAAAGCATACCGAGGGCAATGGGATCACTGACACACTGACAGGTCAGGTACATATTATTACGGAGTAATTATTATTATGCTGTGGTGCTAGCTTATCGTTTTTCTTCTTCTTCACTTTTCCAATTGTTCGCACACATAACGTGGTATTGGAACATGCACTCTCTCCTTGCATGCATTCCTTCCATACACTTCGCATACATACTCATCCTACCAACTTGCTTCACGTTATGATCCTTGCGTTGAAAGCCCTATTTCACTATTTGACCAGCTTCTTTACTGGTATGGTATTGTTGCACACCAGGCATGCTGCATCAGTTTTTTTTTTTTTTTTTCACCTTCCCGTGGCCAGAGAATATGGGCCAATATGGAGGGAGGGGGCGGTAGCCAGCCATGGTAGGGAAACAAAAACGAAGCAAAAATAAATAAATATCCCTTTATGTACTGATTTCCAGCACAGAATGCAGCAGAATTTAAATTTTCTGCACAATTTACACCTTTAACACGCTATAACTTTGACCTCCTTCACTGCATTTCCACAATCTTGGGCTCTTTGGAAAGCTCCTGGCGAGAGCAACGCCAGGATACCAGGCTCCATCAACTAGTTGCCACAAATCAGGCGCGGGATTACAGCAAAGTCCACCCCAAGCCCAAAATGCGAGTAAATTCCACCATCAATGCCATTCCACTCTCCTCTATCACAGAAAGCTCTTTTCGAGGCTATTTAAACCTCAGCCAGCAACGTCATTATCATGTGCTCAGTTGGTCAAAGAGCACACCGATAGGGATTTTCCCCTAAAATGACAAAGAGATCGGATCAAAGTATTTCAATAACCTACGAGGAGACAATAGTCGTAAAATGGCAATGAATATAACTCAGGGCTGCCACTTAATCCGATTTTTGATCGCCTGTCCGACAAAGCGACCGATTTTGTTCCCAAAGAGGGACAACCGATTATTATATTTTGAGCGCTTTTTAGTCCAGTTAGCCATTAGTTCATAATTGACATGGTTGTAGTGTGTGTGCTGGACAGTTAAAAATGTGTTCTGGGGCCCCAACAGCAAGCCATTTTCCTAAACATTTTCACCAAGGGGGCCCTGCCCCTTGCACCCCCGCGGGGGACACCCCAGCACCCCCGTCAGATTTTTCTCCCTTCAAGTGTGGCAGCCCTGTAACTAATTGCGCACTCATGAGCCATAACCATGTACATGTGAAATTTTGTTTTTCTGCTGAATGGTCACCGTTTCCGATTGGAAGAAGTCCTTTCTTTGGAATTTGACGAAATTATTCATCGACAGGCAGGTATAGTGGGATGGTCTAAGACCAAGATTGAGAAACAGAGGGTACCAGGTTCAAGTCCTGCTTGGAAGCGGAAGGAATTTTTCCAGCCGTGCTGTGACCCACAGTTATTTGGGAACTCGTGGCCTGGCACGAGGGTAACATGGATGCAGCTAATGGGATTTCGGTCTTTGGCCACTTGGTGGTGGGTCTGATCTTCTCACCTCCCACCGTTTAGGCACTGCATCTGCGCCTTTGATCCTAGAGGGTGGTGGCATTCCCACGGCGGATGCGGAAAACTCGGCTTCCAGCCGAGTCTCACGCGAACCGTGAAATTTATTTTAAATTTTTTATTCATCGACTGATTTTCTCTGCTTGTAAAGCACACGGATTGAGAGTGAGTGGATATTGCAGCAGCCGAAAATACCTTCGCGTTTGAATTGCCGTTGCTGCTCTACACTATGAACACTACAATACCATGCGGACAAATGTGGGCACACGACACGGAGTACTGTACATCAGCAGAATCCTTTTCCAATAAACTGTTACCATGGTTACGGGTTAGGTCTGCAGTACTACTAGAACTCAGCGCAGACCTTCAGGGAAATGTTGGAGACTGAATGGGAGATGCTTACCTGACTTCAAGCCAGGGAGAAGCACCTGCTCCCGATAACGGCCGGATGGTTCCTGTCCGGCGTCTGCTATTCTTGTAACGTTGACCCGGACGATTGGTAGTCCCACAAATCTAAACGCCACCTGCCGATGGACAGGTAAAGAACGAAAGCACTTCACGTCCGCAACCAGATTGCGACGGAGCGTCACTCAAACTCCCAGAAAATAACAATATGAAGGGCCGCAAGCAGAACACGCATCCGCCCAGAACACCCACAGAGGGCAACGAGCAACAAAAAAACGATTCCGCATTCAACTGAAGCACGGACGTTCCAGCAGTCCAAGATCCCATCTACACGTTCGCTGCACGCTCCAGCGGCCAGACCTCTGTGGCTTCATTCATCTGTCTGATCTGGCAAAAGATTTAGATCTACGCGTAGATTATGTACATGACTGTACAACATGACATCAGATTCTACTGCCTGCTCCACACTACAAAAGTACAGTGCTACTCGTGTACATCAACACGTACTAGTAGATCTACGAGTAGGTCTAAAATCATTGCGGGCCCATCTTTCGGCTGATAGTAATACCACGCCAACTCCGAAATGAAGCCGGCTGTCAACTGTGTCGCCAGAGGCGGACTACAGTAGCTGTTCAAGTGTCATCAACATTAGCTGTTCAACATTGATGGATTACTATCGCTGTCGGGTGTCTTTCGCGCTGCTTCGTTCCGCTGTGTTGTGTGTCAGCCTCTGTCAGGGGTGCTCGGTCGGCCCGTCATCGTCCAGTTTACATGCTTCGTGAGTTGGCGATGGTGGAGGATCGTGTTCCCCTGCCGTGATTGACGCTGCACCGAGCTTGTTTTGTGTGAAAGTAAAACTTTTATTATTATTCTTATATCTGTACTTCAAGTATTACAAAATAATTGAGAGGCTTTGAATCGTTTTTATCAAAATCTAAATATTTGCCGGGTTGGAAGGTGGGAATCAAAGCTGTTCAAGTGTCATCAGTGAGCGATGTCGCCTGTACAGTGCACTATAATTATGATTATGTAGACGCTAGGCTTGTCTTTTCAAACACATACACGTCACGTGGTACACAGCCGGGCTAGATCGTAGTAGAGGCAAGGCAGTGCAGAGGAAATGAGATCCTTTTTTTTACATGCAGTAGCTACAGCCAGTTCAAGGTCAAAGGCAAATGTGTAAAAAGGCTGGCATCCACAGCAGCACTCTACAAAACACATCATCATCAGGCATGTACTGTCGTGGACATGGACGCACGTCTAGCGGCGCGGCCCCAGGGCGCTGGCCATGCAGCCATGGCATGCTTTATTTCGCGCTGCTGCTGGCCGCATCGTATCAACAATAACGTGTGCGCTGCATGCAACGACGACGTTCTGTAGATCTACGAACTGAGGGCGCCGGCCCTGGTCAATCGACTGGATTTCCATGTCCGCGACAGTACAATGTAGTCAGGGAGTCGTAAAAGCCCTGATTGTAGTTATTCATCCCGAGCCGCTCGGGTTTTTTTCGGTCAGTCGGCTACTACATGTATCATAATCGTCTTGGGGGTTAGACAATGGGAAGTAGTCATGTAGGGGCGTGAGCCCGCCTTTCGGCACCGGAAGAGGACTCACACCTTGATCTGGTGAGCTGCGTCGCGTTTCGATCATGCTGACTGAGGCTACTCCTTTTCACAATTCGGCCTCCACTAAGGCCGCGGTCACACATGAAAAGTTTGCACCGCTTTTGCGGAGGCAAAAAGCGTACCGCAGCCGCTTTCGCGGAACACACGATGCAGCGGTCACACATGCATATAGAACGCTTTCGATTACACGCATTTCGGTCAATTCTGGAACTGGGTTTTGTAATTCTCGAATGACCAAAATGTAAGCATCCCGCCTATTCCCGGCCATGTAAACGAACGGCTGGAATTCACAACGCATTTTATTCATGGCATATCACAAACAAAATTGGTCGTAAAAAAATATCACGTACACCCTCGCGCGCGCGTCGACCCAGCTTCGCGTACCGGTCCATCTCGGCGAAGGCTCCATGTCGGCCACAATAGTGGGCTTCGATAAAGCTGAACGCGTGTGCGAAAGGACCACCCAAAATGATAATCAGCTCCCAGCGGAAACTCAACAGCTTTTCGGGAAGACAAAAGTAGCAACTACGTGCAGTTGTAGCCCTGCGTTCGTGCCACGCCGGCTAGGGAAGCTCTTCCTTGACTTGACTCATGCACCAGTAACACAGTGAGTGCGTTCGATTATGCACGCGAATCGATTCACGAATCGATTCATGAATCGATTCGCGCTATTCACATCACCCCATGTGAATAGAGTGAATGGATTCCGAATCGATTCCAGGGCTCATGACATGAAAATCGAACGACTTGAATGCACTTGAATCGATTCATGAATCGATTCAAGTGTGTAATCGAACGCACTCACCGAGTGAGCAATTCTGGCGCCAGAAATAGAGGAATTCAGCCCTCTCTTCAGAATTGACGGATTTGACGGAATTGGATAAAATCAATTCTAACGACGGAATTTGTCACTTTTGTGTAATCGAACTGTGCATCGACACTAACTAATTCTAGAATTGACCAAAGTGCGTGTAATCGAAAGCGCCCATAGACTACTGTGCTCCCCAACGCAACGCTCCGCTATGGCGGAAGGAATGCAAATGCAGGACGTCCTATGAAATTTTAATGTTCTTGTCCGAGTTGAAGCGACCTTCTCTTGTACAAGTAGAGCTATCATAGATTGCTGACAGGCTGCTGAATGCCTCCTGTCAAGTAACTGAACATTGTCCCTGAACATCTCACCAAGTATAATTGGTTTACTTTCGCACGGGACACTCGCAATGGCATAGTACTTCCCAGAGCTTTGTCAACTATGTTTACCAAATCTCCTATCTTCTCTGCATACTCGTATTGGCTCAAGCTGCCCATGGAAATGAAGACAATATCCAATATTAGACAGTTCATAGACCATGTTAAATGGCATGCCACGTTGTAGGCTCGCTCGCCTCTTTTGCTAGCTTATCTCGCCGCTCTCCACCATGGTCAACATAGTGATACATTTCATCCCGCTGATGCATTATTTTCATCCGATTATCATCTTCTTTCCTTCATTCTTTCTTTTTTTTCTTCTCTTGCCATGGCTGGCTAACGCCCCTTCCTTTGCATTGCCTTCTGCCCTTGGACGATGAAATAATAATAAAGTACACTAGTGGGTTTGGGGCTCATTCACTGCGGCCCAGTACAGGTGTAATTGTATTAATATTTTGAAAATTAGTTTAGTTTTCATCAATATCAAATTCAAATAGTTGTAGGGTGTCGTTGCCTCCTCCATGATCCATCATCGACCCGAACGACTGCGTGGATGCGTGCAGTTGCAGTGAGGGTTGCAGTGAGGGTGTGAGGGTGTGAGTGTGTGAGGGTGTGGCAGAGAGCAGACTCTACTACTCTCTGGTAACAGTACAAGTGTTGTGGACGCATTGCTTGCAGCGAGAGGGAGACAGTTGCCGATCGTCCGCGATCGGGGCCAATGAGTTGGGAGTAGGCCCAGACGGATTCTGCCTGGCTCGCCTCGATATTTTGCCCCAAAATGTTGCTGCAAAATCTTCGGTATTTTGCCGAGCCTGGCACAATAAACTCGATATTTTGCTCACGAAAAACGTGTATTTTATCCACTTCCCGTACAATCCTGTACAACGTTTCATAAAAATCGCAGGGTCGGTTTCTCAACACTAGTTTCCACGCACGTGTCCCTAAGTTCTTCCAAAATCATGTCGATCCACAGTTAATCCCAGTGACATTTCGGTGACATGATCTCGTCCTGGGCAGTGTATCCTGCTGAACGGGTAAGAAACAAGGAAATCCAAGTATATGGCATCGATTTTACCCAACATCTCGATATTTTGCTCCGATTTTGCCGGCCATTTCCGCTCTTTCAATTCTTCGATTATTTTGCCGAAAGAACTGCCGGCAGGATCTGTCTGGGCCTAGTTGGGAGACGGACTCCCTGCACCAACTATCCACTCATAACGATGCAGTATCGTTTGCGAGATCTCCAGAACCTACAGTTCATTGGCAAAGAAGAACAATATGAAAATTGAATACCAAACGGCAACCAAACAACACCAGAACTCAGTGCAGAAGTAGCACACCAAACTCCAAAGCAATCACCATACAGGTTCCGCCAAAGCGGAGATTCCGCTCGCATTGTTTTGGCATAGCGAAATCCAAACTTTGTAACGGCGGAAAGGTAAGTTACGCTTTCGAGGAACCGCCAAAAAAGTGCATAATATGTGACCGCGGCCTGACTGCCCTTCGACGTCTTCGGCATTTTGCTAAATGTGCGCTTAAAATGATATTGTACAAGTATTGTAATACTGTACAAGTATTGTATTTTTGGCAGTATTGTATTTTTGGCAGTATTGTATTTTTGGCAGGTGAAGGACAGTGACAGTTATAAGTATACATTTTCATTCAGGAAATCTTTCGTTAGATCACTCCACCAGCAGACTTCTTACATACTACTGTAGTACTAAAATTCGTTTTTGCTCGAGGTCTGTCATCCGGAACGTTCAGAAAAAAAGCTTTAGTTATTTGGTGCCCCTTAAACGAATATAGCGAAAGTAAATTCCAAATGAAAATTTGTACTTATACAGTAGCCTTATATACAATGTACTTGGAAGTAGGAAAAAGGAACGCAGTGTAAGTGGTCAGTAGCTATCTACATGTAGAGGCTGTTTGTGGTTTGTTGTCGCGCAGAAGTTTGAGAAATGCACAAAATTACAAAATCGCGGAACGGAAGATAAATTGCAAGAAATCCGTGCAGGCACCACATGCTTAAACTAAAAGGGTAGTCTGTGAGCGCTGAAATCCTGCTTTCAGGTGCACTTTAGGCTTCAGATTGACACTGACTCATATTGTTATCTGGTGTTAACTGGGTGTCTGTTGCGCTGTAAACGGAGCGTCTCTGTAAGTTTGTATCCGTTGTGATGTTTATACCTGGACAGCACTATACAATCATATAAATGGTTCTCTTCAGACACAATCTTTCTCAGTCTACTCAAGCTCAACTGATGAAGGGTGAATCACCAGAAACATTGTGTATTGAGCAGAGAGTGGTGCTGTCTTGCAGGTTATCCGAGTCGAAGGTTGGATGGACTTCTCGTGTGCTCCTGATGGCAGTCATGAATTAGCCAAGTGTCAAGTTAAGTCGACGGAAAAGCGCGAGCTCCAGCGTGGGGAGCAAACCCTTTCCTAACAAACCATTGCCGAAGTC